AGATCCCAGAGGTGGTTTCACTGGCGTTTTTTTTCTTCCTCTTTTTCTTCTTTTTTTTTTTTCTTCTTCTGGGGCTCCAGTGAAGGTTTGGCCTCTTCAGCCAAGTTTCGGCTGGTGAATTTTTAGATTGACTCACCCTGTAGCAACGAGTTTTGGTTTTGTTGGCGAGAGATTATGGTTGAAGGCATTTGTCTGAGGGTTTTTCGAGTGCACCCTGGGAGTATGCCAGCTTCGCATGTTTCACCTACTTGCACAATTTCCACTGTATGGACCATGTGCGGCCATTTTGTCGTGAGACATCCTCAATGTCTCAGAGGCCAAGAACTTGTCAAAATGCAGGAGCTGAACCACGCTTGGCTTTGAACTGATCAATCAACCCACCAAGCAACCTGCCAAGAAAATGATCCAACAGACTCCCCAACGAATTGCTTTGGAATTGGGCAGAGTTTGTGTGCAGGTCGCATGTATAGGCTATTTCTAGAAGAGCAATCTTGCATGGTAGATTTTGTGCGGGGAGCAAAGACGTACTCACATAAAACCTGCTTGAACCCTTACATGCTCTCAAATTCTCGGGGCTGCAAGGAAGCCATTCTTTTGAATTGGACAATTTCAATTATGAGCTTGCCTTTGGCATTTGGTGGTTTTCAAGAATGGGCAAGTTACACCTAGAATGGCATGGCGGAAACTGAGGTGCCTCCAAATTGGGAAACCACAACATGTTTTGTGTTTGTTTTGCCAACAAACAAAATGGTGGTGTCGCTTCCCTTGCTTTCTCTTTAAAGCCATCTTGAAAAGGCACCGCGCCTCACAAAGAGACACACGCGACTGTGGCCAATTTTTGTGAGTGGCCAAGGCGGTTTCTGGAGACTCACATAAGTTTTCCCATCTGCTATGTAAATATGTATTCAATATACAGATACATGGGGGTTGATCAATATTCATGGCCGCCAAATGACCATGGGTAACTCTTCCCATTTAGAGGGACATATCATCTTTTAGTTGTTTTCGCCAATGGTCATTTAATGTACAGGACCTTTTGATCAACCCCCTTTTCAACACTTCCGATTCAGGGCCTTGGTTTTTTCTGCGTAGTCCTTAGGTAAGATGGTTTTCTTTCCATTTTAAATACCTGAAGAACGCCACAGGACACTTCAAGGGAAATCCTTGGTTTTGCTGGGTGTCTTGCAAGAGTCAAGTAGACATTCTTGCAGCGCGCTAGGATAAGAAATCTAGGTTGGCGAAGCCTGCAGAGCGAGCACGCGTCGGCATGGCTAGGTTTTGGCAAAGACTTTCGGAAAGCATCAAATTTGGTTTACCTGTAAAGCTACTAGGTCCCCCAGTAGTGCCCTTTTACCAACTTTCTTGGGGGAGGGTTCCCCTACTAAAATAGACTACAGAAAAAAGCGGGTACCCGTATTCTAACCTCTCTACTGGAAACCGGATGGCCTCAAAAAGGAACACCCCAGGTGGATGATTTTTCCCTTCGCCTGTGGGCAGGTCCAGCACGCCGGAGGCGATGTTCAGCTGCGTGGCCCGCGCGGGAAGCTCTGGACGGTTTCGTTTCGATTGGTGCAGAGGCTTGGGTTCTTAGGGTTTAGGGTTTCCCTCATTGGAGACACGCTGAATGTGGGGTTTGGGTTTTCGGTTTCAGACTCATATCAGAATATGGAGTGGGGGTATGCTTCGTCTCATCAAAGATTAGGCACGGATGCGAACGGTTGGTTTGTGCGCGCGAACATGTGGCTGCGTCTGAAGCCACCTCAACATGGGTCCAGCTCCTTTTTTCGCAGCCAACATACGTTAGAGAAGCACAGCCCACCAAAGCGAGCCATGCTTCACAGTCAAGCCTTTCAAAGCCCTGAGAGCATCAACTTGCGCCCGCTCCTGTTTTGTCCTTGCAAGCGTCTTCCGGTCCCAGGTTCTTGGAGCTTGTGGCGCTGAAAAATCAGTTGGGTGTGGCTAAAAATTGAACAGGAGGGGCAAGCCGCAGGTTTTGGTCCATGTTTCCACTTACCAGGGTTCCATTGTGGTACCGGGTTTTTGAGCCACAGCCAGTTGTGTAAAGCTGCTTTGTTGTGGCGGAATGCAGAGCGAGAGTTCAAGTGCAACTCCTAGGGGACCCTTTGGGTAACGCTTCCTGTATTCATTAGCCATGATGCGGGTTCACTTTAGTGCCGTGTCACCGATTCTGAGGGTCCATTCCACTCCATAGTCAAAGAGCAAAGAGCGCAAGGGGTGATGCGGCCTTACGGGCGACCCAAATGGTTGGCTTCTTTTGTCCTTGCTCTTTCTCTCGTTTTTTAACAAGCACGAGGGGACACACACACGCACAAACACGACATTTGTTGGTTGATGCGTCTTGTGTTATTGCAATGTCTGAGCGAGGGTGCCTACAGCGAAAGAAGCCCTGGCCACCTTCCAGGCTCCATGTTTGGAGGGCACCTTGGCTTGCCGCAACCCACCTCCCACCCCGAATGGTTGCAAATGTTTCAGCTAGGGGTTGCAAAGGCCATCTAAGCTACAATAAAAAAACAAAAAACAAAAACAAAAAACACCATCCTTCGTGGCTTACAGGTGCTTTGTACTCGCAGGCACAATCTTGCAAGGATCTTTGGAACCCGATGTGGATGGCATAGAGGGTGTGAAGCAGATTTTGTTTATCAGGGTACGTCTCTTGTTTTTTTTTGAGGATATCCCTTTTTTGGTGGCCTGCAAAGGGACGCTGAAAGCAAAACCACCATTTGGGGGGGTCCCCCAATTTTGTTTAACCTGCCCATCAGTCGCCAACCAGTTTCCGTGCAAGCCTCCGTGCAAGTGGCCATAGGTCACAGCGGATGGCCCGCGCTCAGAGGCGCGCAAGCGAGCGTGAATGCGCCGAGGTCCATGAGGTCGTCTTGTGGGATGTTGGTTTTGGATGCATCTATTTGTGGGCGCGGACGCTTGGCTAGCCACGGTTTGGTTCGGATCTAATGGATTTCCAAGTGCGCATGTGGCTCACTTCTGGACCGAGTACGGAAGCACAAAATCAAGACGAGCCCAGTTCGATGCGCGTTCTGTCCGGGATAGAGGTCCCCATGCGCCTGAGTGCAAGTTGACCGGTGGGTGTTTCTTCACTTGGTGGCTCCCAGCCATCCGGTTCCTTAGCTTTTTAGACTTCTAGTTGGTGTAGTGGTCGTCTCCGAGCTTAACCCAAAATTCCTTGAAGCTTCCAGCAGGGGATCCGAAAACGGGCCTAGTTAAGTGCAGGAGCAGATCCAGAAGAAGGTCATCAGAGTGCCGGCGCTCAGCCCTTTGAGATCGATTTTTAGCGTGTGTGTTTGCGTGTTTTTTCGGACGGTTGATGCGGCCTTGCGCGGGCTGATTGGATGCACCTTGCGTTGTAGGTTGATCGAAAAAGGGGGGCAGCCCCCAGCATTGGAGCTGCATTTCGACATCCGTTCGCAGATGGTGAGGCAACCACTCCAGATTCCTGGCAATTGTGTTTGACCAAAGGGCTGCAGCGAACTTGGATATCTCCACTTGCTTGTAGTGGACCTGTCCCTTGTGGCCTCCCGTGGCAGATGCTGTGCTCCAGTCATCCATGGAGCCGCTGGCTGGAGGTTCATGTTATATGGGTGTTCTATCGTTTTGGGTTGTCTAGGGTAGTTTCCACCCGCAAACCAATTTCCATGGGTTTACAGGGACATACAATCACTGCAGAGCCAGAACCATCTCTAAGGTTTGTCTCACACTAGGGCAAACCCAACTTCGTGTTTTCTCTTTTGGCTTCCCTTTCAACCTGAAAAAGGGTACCGAGCCTCCAAAACCCCCCGTGCCCCATCGGGATGTTCGCACAGGTGCTGGCGTGGCCGCCTTTCTCCGTGAGCGGCGAGCTTGCAGAACGGGCCGCGCCAAAGAAGCCGTGCGGCCGAACTTTTCTCGTGGGAAACCCCGGCCTCACTTCCCCTGGACATGGCTGTGGTCAAAACCCAAATCGTGGCCCTGGTGAACATCAAAACAGGTGGCAAGTGGAGGTTCGTCCCCCCCAAAATGGAGCTTGGAACTTTTTGGGCTCGGAGCACGGCGAGAGTTTTGAGTTTGGAGGATTTTGGTTGCCACTCGTCCATTCCATTCAGCTAGTCTTCCGCATGAAACGGAACTGGGTGGTTACCTGAAATGGAATTCCAGGAGTCACCCCCCCCACCCCCAATTCCATATTTAACGGGATGGGGGTGTCCCAATCAAAGATCATTGTGACCAGGGTCACCCCATGGAATCCTCCAGGAATCAACTTGTTGATTTGACAAGGGGGAGACACCAACCACTACCTTGTGAATCACAAGGATGCCTACAAGCTGGTTTTCAATTGGATCTGTGCCGACCAAAGGCCAATTGGGGCTGGGTTTGTTTGGAGCCGGTACCCCTTTCGGTTTGTTTCCGAGGAAACCACCCATTCTCGACATTGCCCGGTTTTGAGAGACTCCCGATTGCTACCATGTGAACCATGCATCCAATACAACCATTTTGTCCATTGCTGCCATTGTATTCGTTTGAACCATTTAAGGATTTAAGGGGGCATGCCTCCCCTTGCGAAGTATGGCCCATGGCCTTAAGGTTTGCCAAGCCTAACCGCGGATCTCAGAAGTCTGCACGGGCTGACCGGCCTCAGAAACGACACCTCTGCGCAAAGACTTGGCGCAACTTGATCCCTCTGGGTGTCGGAGAATTCCTGTTCTCCCTGGAAGGCGAGAGATACGTTGTAGTGATACCGGACACCAAATTCCCAAGGAGCACAATGAAGGTTGACCGGTGACAAAGCTTCAAGATTTGCCCGACAAGACTTTTTCAGCTGTCGTATCGGCTCCGGGCGGGGACAGGCGTTTGCCATGCGGATGCCGGCACACGTAAGAGAGGAAGCCCGGGCAAGGAAGCAACTATGTGGATTATGGCCTTAAAACAACATGGGGCACATTGCTATCCCAGCACAAGGAACAAGGCTCAGCTAGTTGAATCCAGGTCAAAGGTAGCACATTTCTTCAGCTCGCCGCCATGTCTTCCATTGAATATTGCGCCTCATGTGTAGTGCCTTGGCTGTGGGATGGCGAATGCTTCATGAGTATGCGTCAAAATGGTGGGGCCAACAAACGTTGGCTTCGTTTCTCTCGGTTTGTTCCAACATAACAGCAGATCCCTCACAACACACCCAGAGGCGTGCAACATCTGAGCCTTTGTTGCTAGGTACAACCCTGACAGAAGCCACATTTTGCATCATGGGTATGATGTTGAAAGGGAAGACTTTCCGACATAGGTTTTATTTGGACGTTGCAGCCCATGTAAGGTATGCCTCCACTGAAATCCATTCGGCGCCAGCTTGAGCCACAGCAATGAATATTTGGGTTTCAATTAAAGCGGGCGGGTCGAAACATCAGATTTACGCCTTTCAGAGCCTCAGTTGCTTTTGAGAAGTTTGTTTTGAGGTCGAAAGTTCAACACTGGATCTGCAAAAATGTGTGCTTTCCACTAGGGGGCCCCCATAAGGATTTGGGATCCACCATCAGGTTCGAGCTGACCTGCGGCGCTAGAAACTGGCTCAGCGATCTGTCTCGGGCGCTAGAAACTGGCTCGGCCGAACAAGAAAATGGACCCAGCCCGCGGATTGTTGTTTGGGTCTTGCCTGGAGGTCTGTTACAAACCCCCTCAACATGGACACGCGAACAAAACACCACCAGGGCCGGCCTGCACGAAATTCGGCAAGTCTCCCAAAGTCGCTCTCAAATTGAGCATATTCGACCGAACCCTACATGCTTTCCTGAAGTTAGAAGCTGGCACGTGGAACAAGGGTGAGGTACTCCCTTGCACCAGAGGGGGCGGGAACAGCCTTCCAGGATTCGTGCGTGGAAATGCACCCACTGTTGAGTTCTGTGCTCTGATTGCGATGGTGTTTTTCGCCGCTTCCGCATGTTTTTGGTTATTCCTGCAGTCCTGCAAGTCTGAAGGCATATGGTGTGTGACAGGCAACTCTCCTTTCCTCTTTGGATTAGCTTGTGCAACGGCAGGAGTTGCTATTTGTTTGTGATTCTTTTTGAGGTTACCATTCAAAGCCTTGCTTTGAGGGAGAACCAACCGGAAAACCACCGCTTCGGATCGACCTTGAGATCGACATGCCTTTGCCTTTCAGGATCCCGTGCCGCCTCGGCCACACCCAGCACCAGGAGGGGCTGACTTGGGGAGGGGATAAGCACGGCGAGCCGTGGATTCCAGGCCAGGCAGCTCAACCTCCCTCAGTCTAAAGCAGCGGTGTATGCACACACACACACATATATATATATATATATATTAGCATTATGCATATATACACGTCATAAAAAGTTCGACTATTTCTAGGACCATCGTTCTTTGCCAACACTTGGTTTCCTGAAAAGAAGGATCCGGGGAAAGAATGCGGAAGCTTTTGGGCCCACAGCACTAGCTTGCTTCCAGCTTTCCAGGAGCTGAAAAATCTATTGCAGGTCTGCGCGTCGTGACACCTGTCCTTATTTGTTGCACCGAAGCTTTTATTCATTCTTTTGGATTTTCCCTTGGCACACGTTGTCGTCAGCTTCTCCAGCGGCAATTCCAGCTCTCGGAGGTCAAGCCCAGAGTTCACCGGGGTGCCAAGCGTAGGGTGTCCTTTTTGGTGGGTTTAATCCACTTGCGGTGCCAAGAAGCCCATCGATTTTTGGGTGGGAAACCCATGGATTTTTTTACCAAAAGGCCAGCGCGTCCGGTGGCCGGCATGGCAGGCCGGGCTCTTACAGCCGCTGTGTCGCTGTTGAGCTGCGTGTCCTGCTTCTTTTTGTTCTTCTCCGAAACGCAGACACGGTTTGATGGCAGAAGCAAGGTTTGATTTTGAAATTTGAGTAACCCAGAGTTCAACTGTGGACATGACAGGGGATGTGGACGAGTCCAAGAGGCGCAGCCTGGCACCTCGTAAGCCACTCGAGTCTAGTGCCGATGCCGAGGCATTCTCGACACCGGGGCTGCTCGTTGTGGCGCTGGTGCCAGTTGCTGCCAAGGCCTCGCCCGTGCGCTAGTCCCGGGCCCCGGGCTTCAGACCGGGCCCTGAGCTAAGCACTGCAAAACAGATGTCGCTCTCTCCATGTGTGTATTTTCCCAAGATCAGCCTGCTTGGCATTTCGTTTAGTCTTTGTGAAACATGTCCTGCAGCAAGCTGCGGGATGATGATGATGATGATGATGATGATGATGATGATGATGATGATGATGATGATGATGATGATGATGATGATGATGATGATGAATCAAGTTTGAACGGCTTGCAAAGGATGATTCCAGAAATCCAACTACCATCAGAGTAGCCACCATCCCGACAACTAAAACCATTTTCTTATGATTGCTTCTGGTGGGTTCCACGCCTCTCCAAGAGAACTTCTGAATTCTACGTTGGCAGCAGAAGCACGGCAGCCCCACCGATTATTTTTTCTTCGCCGTCCGCGTCGCGGCCTTGCCAGGCGCGGCGGTCGGCGCGGCGGGCGACAGGATCCACATCCATGGGAACGGAGAGCCTTGGAGCGGAACCAAAACGGGTTCGGAAAGTGGGTCAAGACGTTTCAACAAGCCGCCCCTTTGGGTGCCTTTGGGTGCCCGGTTTTGGTTTGTTGGGAGATACCAAAAAGGGTCGAACAAAGAAAGACCCTCGTTCTTTCGGACTTAAGGCATGAGGCGCTCGCAAGTCGACTTCGCCGTTCCAGAGCGCGGCCCATGCATGGCGAGACGGACCGCTTGATGTGCGCGTGTCAAAATAGTGGGACCCCAAAAACGGTTTTCCTGTTGGTTCCGCTTTAAACGCACCTGAAAGGGTAGGCAATGCCAAGAATTCTTGGCAAGCGATCGAAGGATGCGAATGCAGGGCTCAGGAAGCCAAGCAATTGGGCACTCTCTGGCTCGGGATGGGGAAGGTAAACAAGAAGCTGCAAGCGCCAGGTACAAATAGGGTCCCCTCACACCGTGAGAGAAGTTGTGTCACCAACCAAGCACACATTTTGCTCCCGCCTTTAGTTCTCCCCACACGACTTCCCTTGACCTTCCCTGGTTTTGCTCGCCAGCGCCAAAAAAAAGGACAAAGACTCGGATCCGCTTGGCGAGAAATCGGCGCCGGGTGCTAAAATCCGAGGATCTGGAGCCTCCTGGGCTTGAAGGGCACTGCCACCAAGGCGGAGATCAAGCAGAGGCCTTCGCCTGAGCGGCGAGAAAAGCCGGGGACGGCTCGCTTTTGGGCTGTGGGACACCACAGTTGGCGTTTTTCGGAGACTCAACGCGTGGCGGAATAAGGCTAAAGGCTAAAGGTTGTAAAGAATCGACCTGCGTCAGTTTCTGGAGCTAGAATATGGCTTGTTGCAAGAAGGAGTCCGTTTCCCCCAAAGGAGTCCGAATCCGCTACAAGTTGCAATGTCTTTTCTGGGCTCGTGTTCGCTTTGGGGGGGGGAGAAACAAGAACCAGGCGGTTCTTGGGGAGTTTGGCGCCTTGGGATGGGGACATTTGGTGGGTGCCCAGCTAAGGCTTGCGGGCCGAAGCGGCAACAGGAGTGGTTGGCCCATACCCTTCAAGTGCGTTGTCCATAAGACTGCTTTCACTGGAAAAAAACAAAAACAAAAACAGAAAAGCATCCTGGTCCTGGGCAACACGTTGGGTGCGTCTTTTGCAAATTCCACCTTTCTTGTCCCTTTGAGTCTGTTTAGTGCTGCATCCAAGCCATTTTCCAGATGTATTGTGGTAAGCGGCTTCCTGGATGCGAAGCTTCTGTGGCAAAGGAACAGGTAGCGCACAGGTACTGCTTGGTTTTGTCGGCCTGATGGGCAGTTTGATATATTTTTTTGCAACTTGTGGGTTTGGTGTGCTCAAGGTTCAAGAGACACCGATGCTTCCAGTCTTGAAGCTTTAAGGAACCCAGGCTTAAACCCGGAGTTGGCTGATTTCCCCAAAGCAGGAACCCCTAAGTCTAGCCCGCAACCTGAAAGGCGAGCCTTGCCCTGAACGGCTGTGTGGCGCACAATGTTCAGACACTTTCCTGGTGGGAGGACCTTCGATTTCCTGGATAGAGGATCATGGTTGTGCCAGTGACATTCCTGCTTGCAAATACGCGATGTTGCTCACGCCAATGTGTTTCTCAACAGTCACTTGGGAAGAGGATTCTGAAGAAGACTCAAGGCAAACCCCGAGGGAGAGAGAGAGAGGGAGAGATACAACTAGGAAGAGTCTGGATTGATGCACGTGCCAAGTCATGAAACAACTCCGGCCGCGTGGGTTTTTGGGGGCCTTTGCCGAGGAGCTACACCCGACCTGAGCTCTTGGGGCAGGGATGATCGCAAGCCGCGCGCCTTTTCCGAGGTTCAAGAGCTTCGTCCGGACAAACCATCCAGACGCGCGGAGCTGAGTCACGTTGGGGCGTGGCAACCCGGGTATGTTCGCCCTGGTACAAGTCATGCGGAGAGATGAGGTAGCAGCTTAGCAACCGGCGGGCCATTGCACATTTGGAAGTATCCATGGGCAAGGGCAAGCGGCGATTTTGAACGTGACAATCTGGCAGTGGACGCATTGTGGCACTATGGCAGTCTACATAGGTGTGTTTTCTGGAGATGGGGGCAACACTTCATCCACATGAACGCAGACCCTTCCATGAAAGGTATCTGCTCTTCAGACCCTGGATTAGTAGACCTGTGGGCTCAGCTGCAACTCCCACAAGAGTAAATCTCTCGAAATCAACCAGGTGTTTTCCATTTCTGGGTCAGCATTATCGTCCAATCGCTTAAGAACATTGTTCATTTCCCCTATGGTTTCTAAAGGGCCTCTATGACTACTGCTTTGGTGCATTTGGCTTGGATGTTAGGGCTTTAACTTTTTGCCAACTAGTGGGTTCTCCATTAAACCACGGAAAGCTAAACTTTTTAGCAGGTGCCCGATTCGAAAGCGCAAGCACCCGGGTGCCAATATGGAAGTATTCAACTGCCCAAAATTGATTCCTATGGGCAAGTTTAACTTTTTAGTAGGTGTTCTACATGGCTTACCTTGTAGAACCAAATGGGTTTCAGTCAGAATAGGCAACCCCCCTAAGTGGTGGCTTCCTTTTGGTTTCCTACCTGGAAAGGGTGCCCTCACCAACAGAGCCAGTCGTGCGACTGACGCACTGACCAGCCGCGCATCGGACGCGCCGCGAGGTCAAGGGCGACCGGTCCCCTGCAGCCATCAAGCGCTGGACGGCCATCACGGAGCCTTGCCCTCGGATTTTCTGCGGCGCGTTTGGCGGCGAAAGGAAAACATCTTTTCGCCTTGGCTGGAACCAAGAAGAAGAAGAACACCATCTTTCGCTCTACTTTAACGCATCAGACGAACATGGCGTCCCCAATAAATCGCAGCGTTGTAGCCCAGAAAGGCCGAAACCATTGTTGGTTGCAAAAAACGGGCTGCGCCAGAAAGCCATCATTCACTCCGCGCAAATGAACATAAACCCTCCAAGGAAGGAGCCTTTCCCGGTCGGAGTGGGCATGGCTTCTTCGAACCTTTTTTCCCGGCACCTTGCACATTGGCCTACGACTCTATCCGCAACTTTCCGTGGTGTTCTGCAAGTTGAACAACAATGGGAGACATTAAAACACAAAAATTGTGATGACTCAATATTTGATTGATGGTAGTTTACCATTTATATCAAAAGCAAGGTCGTTCACTTCTCATCAGTTCTTCAGTTGATAGTGGAATTCGTGAACTTGCATGATGGACGTCGGCTCGCCGGCTCGCCAGGGCCTATCGCGAGATCATGAAGGCAATGGAGCCGGCGCGAGCTTTTTCCAAAGGGTTGGGGAGATGACAACATCTCCAAAATTTTGGGTGTTTGTCAAAGGGGTCCACCTTTTGGGATGGCTTTAAGGGGAAACCAAGGGACACCCCGTGCACCTGACCAAAATCTTTAGTGTTTAGAAATCTCAGGGGGTATGACTTGTGATTGGGCCCCCTTGTGGGTGGACAGCATTGGGATTGACGCCCATGATAGTTTGCGTGGAGGAAGGACAGATCCAAAGGATGGTTGGAAGCCATCTTCTTGGGGCAGAGTCGGGATCGCAAAGCTTGGTTTATTAGTTTTGGTTGAATCATGTATATATGCATACATACATATATACATATATATATATATATACACTGTGTGGGCATGTGTATGCAACTTATCATATTCTCTATGACATCCAACGTATGCGCACATTATTTTTGTGCATAGAATGAATTAAACTGTATATGCACACGTACATATGATAGGTATCTATATATGCTCATCTTTCTCAAGCTGAGCGGATGGCTTGTTTCCCAGCAGGTGAGCGATGATCTCTTCTGGGTTGAGGGCTGGGTGGCGCGTGTGCAGCAGATCGAGTACGCCAAGCCTGGGAACCAAGAGGTTGAGACGTGGGGGGGGGTTGAGTGGGGAGGCCAGGGTCGAATGGGTTGCTGTTGTTGGGCCGTGAGGTTGTTCTTGGGTTGTTGGGCTACTGGGTTGTTGGGTAGTTGGGCTGTTTGGGCTGTTGGGCTGTTGGGTAGTGTTGGAACCCTTGGGTTACAGACATCAAGTTGTTGGTACAGAGGTGGGAAGGTGATGCAATAATGTAGGGTGCACATGGTGACAAATGCTTGGTTTTACACTTTCTGCGGACCCAGGGCTCGTCTTGAGAATGAATAAGGAATCATGGGGATGGGAATCCCACTTTGGTATCGCACATTTGTTTTCCACGATGCAAAGAGCGCGCAGAGACTGGCAAGATCCAGCTAGCGCATGTGCATTGCAATCTGAAGGACTTACTCGGTTCTCCAAATAGGATCCTCTGCAATTGATGTGTTTTGGGCTTCGTGGAGGAAGGCTTGTCGTTTTTCGGGCTTTAGCGTAGAAGCGAGAGCGTCTTTTCATATCTGGGTCAGCCAGCCAGGTCTTAGGAAAGCAGAGACACGTGTCACGACTGTTGCAGCCCGGCGCAGGATGCAGGTGGACTAGTGGATTCTTCAAATAGGTGCTTGGAAACTTGCATGAAGTCTTGGTCGAGAAGGGCTCCCAAAAAGACACTCCCATGATGTTGCGGATTGGTCTCATAGAGCTTTTGGAACAGGCATTGCGAGTTCGCAAGAGTGCAAGCCACCGGATTTGCCGCATCCTCGAACGGAGCAAAGTGAAGGGCTTCCTTGAGCCTCAGAGTTCGGTGGTTTTAAAACCATCGCCTTGTGCTGATTTAAGGCGAGTTTCCTTCTGGCAGGGTGATGTAAGGATAAATTTTGGGAGCCCAGGGACCCTCCGATCTACTGAATTTTAGTGTTGGTGCACTTGTGATATTTAGGGAATCCGCGCTATGAACATGCTAAGGATACATCTGGGCCAGTGATTTCCTTGTAGAGCACTGCGATTTTTGGATGCGTCCTGCAAGGAACCCTCTTTGCGGGGGACCCCCTTATTTTTGTCCACGGCTTTTCTTTTCTTTTTTTTACTTTTAAGGCCCATACAGCAGGTTTGGCATTGGACCAATTGGGAAAAGTGAATCACCGTTGCTTACCCTCCCTTCAGCAATCATGGAAGCTGACGATTCTTGGTGGTTCCCAGCCATCCCCCGACCTTTTTAGCCTTTTAGTGATTGGTGGCGGTTTCCATTTAACCCACTAAAAGTTAGTCACTTGTCAGCAATCATGGAAGCTGACGATCGGAGGGTTTTTCTAGGGGTAGCTTCCCCATTCTTCCCAGAAATCCGAATCTTTCCAGAAAACCACCAAAAACCCTGGGAAATGGCTGGTTTTTGAAAAGAAGGATGGCTGAAAAGACTGGGGATTCCACCCCTAGAGTTTTGGAATTGGCGCGAGGGGTCCTCCGATTCGAAGGCTCCAGAACGCCGACCGCCTGCGCCGGGAGCGGATGGAGCAGCGCGCCGCTCGGGCGGGCATGTCCTTGAACGACTTCGAGGAGAGTTACAGCGTCCACCCCGGGCAAACGACTTCGCGTTTGGGCCGGGGGCTCCTTAAAAGATACATTTTGCAACCATTTGAAACATGGCTTTTTCCACCAAAAAGAAGGGAAACCACCATTTACTGTACAAGGCAATGTTCAGGTGTCTAATGTAAGGATCTGTGGGGGGGGGGGAGAGGTTGCGACGTCACCCGTGATGAAGGTGCCTGAAGGTGTGTAGACTTGCAACTTCTTTCTTTCGCAGGCCTGCTGTTCTACTCGGCCCTCCAAACCTAAGCCACGTGGCCCCTTGGACTGTTGTCAGATGACTGGTTTAAAAAGAAGCCCAAAGGAAACACACCAGCCTGGGGGGTCCCCTATTTGGACGCAAGCCCAAATGGGTGTTTGTGTAAACTAGGGAACCCGTGATTCCTTTTTTGGTGGTTTAAACCCATGCGTTTTGGGCAAACGTGAGGGTCCTCTTGGCAGGTGGTGGTTAAAGTCGATAGATATGTGAGGAACCCTGAAAGCGGGTGTCTGCTAAATTAGTGGAGCCGACAAACTGGCGGGTTCCTCTTTTGGTCTTGCAACAACCAGGAGCTTGCGTCCAAACACCCATGTTCCCGGATAAGGGCCACGGGGACGCTCCTCTTGAAAAGGCTTGAGGGATGTGGCCATGGGCTTTTCAACATCCAAAGCCCGTACCCCCAGTGAACGTTGCTTGGAAGAAATAGTTCATTTCGGCTAGTTGAACCGGTATTCATCAACCTGTCATTCCTTTTCAGTTGATTGAACGAACACTTGCTTTGGAAGGAAGACAACATATATGAGGCGGCACTTATCACATCCTTAGAATCACGGTCATTCCCGAACGCCGACTCGCTTCTCTGAAGGAATCTTCATCGCAGACCCCCCGATCGGTGAGGTTGCTTTGTATATTGCCCACATGGCTGTGGGTCAAAACCAATGGTACCATTTTGGGGTAGGTGAGTTCACCACCCATTTTAGAACTCCCGAGCCAACACAAGGCGAAAGGTGCCATTTTTGCAGTGGTTTTTCAAGGGACATCCCACACCCCAACCCCGCATCTTGCGGGTCCGAATGCCTACGAATATGTGGTGCTCTCTCAAATGGATAAAAGCTCCATGCTGGTTTTGGTTTGGTTTCCCTTTCCGAAGATTCCTCACTTCCTGGACTTTTCTAGGGGTTGATTCCGCATTCTTTTCAGCCATCGTTCTTTTCAAACACCGATTGCCATTTCCCCACAGTTTCTGGCGGTTTTCTAGAAAGAGTCGGATCCCTGGAAAGAATGGACATGGAAGCTACCCCTAGAACTTTGGAGCTTCACCCACTTGCGAAACCCAACAGTCCTGGCCCAAAAATTCCTCACTTCTTCCGAAGATTCCTCACTTGCTGAGTTCCTGGACTTTCGCCACTCGAGCAGATCCCTCGACACCGACCGCTCAGCGTGAGAGGCGCTCGGAGCGAGTGATTCACCCCTTCGCCAGGAGGCGCAGATTGCAGCCTCCAAAGCGGCCAAGGAGATTGCGCTGGACGAGGCGAGGCGATGTTGTTTTCCCCAGATAGCTGAAAGCTATAGGGGTTCTAACTTCTAATAAAAAGGGAAAATCTATTTGCGAGATTGATGGGAGGGTTCTAGGGGGCGTGCAGTTTGGGTGCTGGTGTAGGTGCTGTTTGGGGCGCTGTTTGGGGCGCTGTTTGAGGTGCTGGCGAGATTGACTGCCAGGTGCTAGCGTACATGCAGGTGACGGTGCGGGTGCATCTTTGCAAGATTGACGGCAGGGTGCAAGCAGGCATGCAGCTTGGGGTGCTGGTGCGGGTGGTGCTTTGGGATGCTGGGGTGCTGTTAGGTGCTAGTGACCGCGCGGAGGTGCTGGTGTACAACTGTCAGCATGTTTTTCGCTATCTGGGGTCTATGCTGGTGTATTTTTGTCGGACAGACGATTGCGAGTATTTTCAACAAAAAACATCAAAAGGACCTCACGAAACCTTAGAAGGGCCTCAGGAAACATTCATTCACCAAATTGCAGGGTCTTTTCAACTTGACCTAAAAGGGTCTGAAAAAAAAAAAAAACTCGCGCAATTGGAGGGTCTTTTGGTCTTGACAAAGTTGAATGGGCGCGTGCGGTTGGGTGAACGTCCCAAAGGGATATTCCAGAAGCCACGGCTTTGTCCGGGTCCCTCAAACCCCCCACGCTTTACCGGGATTCGGATCTTTTTCCCAAATCAGCCGGTATTTGTGGTACTTTGTGGCCCAAATGGATCAGGACCCTCGGTATGTCCGCTATAGGCGGCCAGTTACGGCCAGTTTGAGATGAGTGTGTTTGGTGATAAGGGGGAATTCCGGCGGAGGATACCTGGGGCCTGTCACCATCGCGCAAATACCAGCTGAATTGGAGGCTTGTAACGCGGCTGACTTTTGGATATTCTTTGAGGAGCCCCGAAAGAAAGAAAAAAGCTTGTAGAAGGAGTCGTCTTTTTGGGATTGCGTTAATGACGGACCCCTGTTTTGGGACTCAGGAGTTTCTCGCATGGCCGTTTTTGCGAAGAGCGCCTGAGCTGACAGGCATGCAGTTGCTCTTCCAAGATATGAGCCAGGGGTCCAACCAAGTCTTTGTGGTTCCCGAGATGAGGAGTACTCTTCTTTAGACAAGACAGCAAGATCCACATGAGAGCTATGCAGGAGGAAAATGCATTGGTGAGCCCTGTTTGCGAGCGCAGTAGCACCTGAGTGCCAAGTCGATATCCTATGGTATCATTTGGTTCAGGCGACATCAGGTCCCAGCGGTTTTTTTCTCTTTCTCTCGCTTTGGATGGAGACGACGTCCGTTTATTTGCGGGTTGAAACGGCGTTTGTTTGTTTTTTGGCAGGGACCCATGCTGAGACCGCCAGGAGGAGAACAGAAGCCAGTTCATGCTCGAGTCCTTGTCCGCGTCGCTCCCAGTCGTGTCCAGTTTGCCGCCGGTGATGTTTTCGCTTGGAAGCTGCAGAGCCGTGCTCCAATGAAGCAACCCTGTTTTGGGTGCTTTCAGACGAGTACCTCTTTTTGAAGAACCGCTTTGTGGGTTCCATGGCAAAAAAGCGCATTCGAATCCATCCCCTTTCTCCGAGGTGGGACTGAGCTTCGTTCTGCCGGAGGCCCCAGAGCGGAATTTTCCCTTTTCGCCGTGTTTGCCCCAGGCGTGTTCAGGCGGATATCGTGGCTGTTTGAAGGGCAAAAGGGAATCCAAGGGGAAGCAAATGGAAGTTTGCAGTTTTTTTTTGTGGTTCAAAGCCAAAATTGGCGAGAAGCCGAGGCCCGAGTTGGTTCCAGATGTTTTTGGTCGCGACGAACAAGGGGGTCGAAGAGTCGGGTTGGGGGGTTTTGAAAAACAGGGTGCCTATGTCAGAATTGTCGAGTCCTTCTGGATTGAAATGGGGTTGTCAAGAATTTGTCCCCATTTTGGACCCTGCGGCCCAAGGTGCCGCCTTTTTAAGAGCCCGTTTAAAAAAGCACAACCCCAAATGGAAATCACAAGGGTCATTTCAGCAGTCAAGGATTTCGGCGATTCATTCCCAAATGCAAGCCTTGCTACCTCAGACACTGAAGAGTCGTGCATTTGTGGTCGCAGGAAAAAGGACATGGACTACAGAGCTGGTTCTGAGTATGAACAAGGAGCATTACAATATGATTGTTGGACGGACAACCCAAGTGAGGTCCGCCACGGGGTCCCACCTATCCGAAACCGGCAAGCAGCGTGGAAATTCCGGCAACAGAAATTTGGTAAGCTCTCCAATCACACGCATGCTAGACGAAATCTCCATGATGTATTGAGACCAGACACTGACAAGTGTCAGAAACAGGGCTTGCGTGGGGCTTGCACAGGCCCGCATCAACAATGCAGGAAGTACGGATGCCAGACAAAGAGCCTTCAAGAAGTTTGTACTGTCCAGGGCTAAATGATTGCCAACGTGTCACTGTGGCTTAATAGTACCTTAACACTCCATTCCAATCATTTGAGCAACTGGCACAATGATCTTCTCATGTCCTTCTGGGAAACACGTAGTGTTTGTCCTTGCGGGGGAAAGGATCACGAATGGCGGAGAGGAAGTTTGCCTGAAGTAGAGCCTAGGACCTCGCGAACGCATCATTGTCCAATCGAGTTTCAGTTCGTTTCCACCTGTCCAGTGGAATCCACCCGGGCGCTTTGGGCCCAGGCTGTTCCTGTTCGTGTCAGTCATCGCGATCCTGGCATCTCCTCCTGATTTGTCAGTGCAGGGTCCAGTGCGCAAACGCTTCGAGCGGGACCTGGAGAGTGTTCGAAGTGACCGCGCAATCAGTCCGGCTCTATATTCTATCTCACCTGATGCGCTCACTTGATGATATAACCCAAAGTCCAAAAAGCTGAGCCGATATGCTGGCTTGCCGTGCCAGGTCCACTCGCCGAACAGCAAGTGACCCGAAAGCACGCGGCAAAGACTGAGAACCTGTCGTCATGGCAGAGCTTCAAGCTGGCTCCAATGGCTTCGACGCCGTCGAAGATGGAACTTGTAGGTGTGTTTTTTCTTCTCCGCGTTGGGGGCGTGCAACTTCGCCCATTCTATGTCTAATCCCTGTGCCGAGTTTGACTGATTTACTCAACCAGTCTCAAGGAATGCTTGGCATTGGAGCTGGCAAACACTCCGGATTTTCCCGCCACTCACATTGCGAGTGGGTGATCTTGAGCTTGTCTCAACAGTTGGGGCTGCGCTTTGTGGATGCGTCTTTCTGGTGCTTTCCCACTATCTGGATCTTCCTTCGTTGACCCATTTCGCTCTTTAGCAGAAGCATCTCGAGGACAGCCAGAAGGGTTCTCACATTTCAGGACCTGTTATACCCAGTTTTCACCCTGCTATGCCCCTGCTATGCCGCCTCAAATGCTTCTGGGCTCCATCCGTGGGCTCGCTCCCGCAGTTCCGAAATCCTTCTGCCGGATTTCACCGGGCGAAGAGATGACCAGTCGCCGCAGGTCGATGTTCCGCTATCTAGGAATGAACTTCAATAGGGACCCCGACAAATGGCTAGTCGACATAAATTGCAATGAAAGGAGCGTCCACCCAAAGATCCAGTGAAATTGATGCCCATTTCATGCTATTTCCTGCCACAAAGGCATGAGTTGCGTGCGACGTCACGTCTTTGCAGCGACGGGATACGACAGCCGGCACTGATGTCGAGTTATTCACACCCCGCCTTGCTAGCACGTTCCCGTAGTGTTTTTTGTTCTTTTTGCGGTCTGTCAAGGTCTTGAGGGTCCGACATTGACCGGTTCTGGGGCACTAAATATTTTCCTCGATCGTAAGAAGTGTGGCCGGAGCACCCACCCTCACAAATGGGCATGAATTCCTCAAATGGGTATGGGTCAAAATTTCTGGCTGTCAGGGGACCGCAGGTATCATTTTTTCCAATTCCTCAGGGTTCCATTTTGGGTACCTGCTTGTGATCCACACCATCTTGGTGGCTCCCAGCCATTCCTTTAGCTTTTTAGCCTTTTAGTGTTTAGTGGTTGTTTCCATTTAACCCGCTAAATGTTAAACTTTTAGCAGGGGATCTGAGGGCAGCCCAGCCACGTAAGCGACCCACAAAGGTGAAATTCATGGGCCGGATCGATCTTCCCGCGGCTGGATCCTGGCCAGCTCAAGTGCTGCGCCAGTCCAAATCCCGAACGAAAATGAGCCAACGAGCTGCTCAAAAGACAAGGCCGGCCGATCCCCCCTCGCTTTTCTTTCAAACTCGTGCCAGGAGTTTGGCGTCATTCCAACTCATTTTTCTCTCATCGTTTACTCATTCCAACTCATGTGTTGTTCATTCCAACTCATTTTTTGCATGTTGTGCTCATTCCAACTCATTCCCTGCTCATTCCCTACTCATTCCCTACTCTGACCAGCAAGTTGGTTGGCAATCAACAAAGACTCCATTCGTTGGTGTCTTTTTTACAAGCGCCTTTCCACCAAATTGGCAGGCGAGTTTGAGAAGGATTACTGGCTTTTCAGCTCCTCCAGGTGAAATGACCCCCGGTTTCGGCTTTTGCTTATTTTTCTTTTGCTCCAGGTTCTGGACAATGAAAAACATAGAGCTCGTCCCGTGCTTTCTATGTGAACCATAGCCGCCAGCGATTTTTGGATACCTCATTGTCCCAGCATTCCCTCGGCGGTGGCTGGTTCCTGTAGGCCACGAAGGTTTCGGGAAATGACTCTCCCCTGTACCCCCAGACGTAGGCTCGTTCTGCCTCTTCATCGCAATGGGTTGGAATTGTTGAAGGGAACTTTTCTGGTGGCATGAACTCCCTCAACTGCGCGGTTTGGTTACATGAAAGCCATTGGAAAAGCTGGAGGTCGGGAGTCACGGGTGTTTTTTTTCTTCGAGGCCAGCCTTTTTTTGGGTTGATCTCAAAGAACAAATCGCACCACCAATTTGGTGGGTTGCCCAACGTGGCTTGGCATCCTTGCCAGCGGTCTTGGGCCACGCTTTTGTCAACGCCTGGCAAATGGACATTATTACACATGATTGGCACTGCCTTAACTTATGGGCTGGGCTACCTCCTTTGGCTCGAAACCGGTTGCGAACCCCGTGGCTCCAGCCGCTCGGATCGATCCGACGGTCGGGGCCTTCGGCCTTCGAGGCGCGGGTCTAGGGCTGGAGGGTAAGCCAAAGGCAACCGCGGGAACCCGCAAAGGCGATTTCCTTTGGGCTTCTTGTTGACCATTCCCGAAAAAAGGGACGGTGAGAGACATATCCGATGTGATATGTCTCTTTGTGTTGTGCGCGAGAGACTGCAAGTTGCTTGCATGTGTCAAAACAAGACATTGTCAAAACAAGGGGCGCGACCCCACAATGGCTTCGGTGTTCCTTTTGATGTCCCTTTTCACTTGCGTCACTGGAGTCACGCGCCGCAAATCAAACCTTCCAATGGTGCCTTTCGGCTTTCGGAGCTTCAGGGCACGGCGAAGAATCTCGATAGTATTGCCGTCGAAACCGGGAGGCGGAAGTTTCAAAAGGTAGAAAAACTATGTTTGGTCTTTTCCTTTTTTCTCTTCTCGCTGCTTTCTTTCCTTCTTTCTTTTTGTTCTTTCTTTTCTTTTCTTTTCTCTTCTCTTCTCTTCTCTGCTCTTCTCTTCTCTTCTCTTCTCTTCTCTTCTCTCTCTCTCTCTTCTTGCTCTTTGTCATCGTCCTTAATTTCTCCTCGATTTTTTTCTTAATTCCTTCCTTACTTTCTTCCTCCCTCCCTCCCTTCCTCCCTCCCTCCCTCCCTTTCCTTCCTTCCTTCCTTCCTCCCTCCCTCCCTTTCCTTCCTTCCTTCCTTCCTTCCTCCCTCCCTCCCTTTCCTTCCTTCCTTCCTTCCTCCCTCCCTCCCTTTCCTTCCTTCCTTCCTTCCTCCCTCCCTCCCTCCCTTTCCTCCCTTTCCTCCTTCCTTCCTTCCTTCCTTCTTTCCTTGCTTCCTTCCTTCCTTCCTTCCTTCCTTCCTTCCTTCCTTCCCTCCCTTCCTTCCTTCCTTCCTTCCTTCCTTCCTTCCTTCCTTCCTTCCTTCCTTCCTTTCTCTGTCGTTCACGCGCGCATCTAATCAATCTGCAGCTTGATTTTATTGTTTTCTTTGCCGCTGATGTTCGCTTTTCATATCGCTCTCTATCTTTCTATCCCTCTATCCCTCTATCTCTCTATCTCGCTATCTCTCTATCTATCTACTCATCCATCTAGCTATCCGCATTAACATGAGCTCACTGGGGGTCTGCGAGCTCCCTGCGCGAATTCGAGGCACTCTTAATTGGGGTCTGCTCTTTGCAGCCATTGGTCTGCTGCTTGCCACGCTGTGGATGGGTGAGCCTTCATCAAGTTGCGAGGTTCATCATCCATCAGCATGGCAAGACACAGTTAATTCAAGTTGTGGACTGCAGCACATTGGCAATTGCTGCGCACTGTTTGTTTGAGGTTCCCGAAGTATTTTGACGCATAGCCGAAGGCAAATCCGGCAGAGCGGTGCATGGACCGCGCTCCGTGGAACAGTCCGTGGCGAAGCAAACGCAAAGACGCACACCCACACACACACACACACACCAAACAGAGGCGCACACACACAGACAAAAAGTCACGCGCAAACACACACACACACATCCACGCCCACACACACACACACATTTGCACAAGCTTTCGCGGGCAGCCTTGTCTGCGCCGACAGTGACGCGGCGGGGCCGGGCAAGAATGCCTTTGCTCTTGTTCGGACATTGTGGAGAGGGGCGCGAAATGGACTTGTTGGCCTTGCAAGTTCTGGCTTGTGATCGGAGGAGTGCCAAACGCAGAGAGCAGGCCAGCCGAGTCAACCCAGACGCTGCTGCAGAGCGAGGGGCGCAGACACGTGCTCGTGGCAATGTCAATCGGCCCGAGTTTGTGTCTGCCAGTGATCTTGGAAGTGGCATTACGTCTCAAAGCAACCTACTCAGAGTGTTGCGCAAGCGTCCGGAGTGGCAGGACTACAAGCATAAGAAGCGCGTAGCGCGCACTTCCACACACCCCCGCACACACACACACACATACAGCCACACACGCGCACACGCCCACATACACGCATCCACGCACTTACACACCCACACACACACACACACGCGCCCACACGCACACACACGCAACGCTCACACACACAGACACAAACACACACACACACACACCTACACACCTACACACCTACACACCCACACACCCACACACCCACACACCCACACACACCCACACGCCCACACACCCACGCACCCAAACACCCACATGCCCACACACCAACACACGCGCACACGCGCACACGCGCACATGCACGCGCCCACACACCGACACGCCCACACACCCACACACGCGCACACGCGCGCACGCGCGCCACCCGCACACGCGCACAAGCGCACACGCGCACGCGCACGTGCACGCGCGCACGCACACACAAACACACGCGCACACGCTCACACGCACACACGCGCACACGCACACACACGCACACACGCGCACACGCACCCACGCACTCACGCACACACGCACCCACGCACGCACGCACGCACGCACGCACGCACGCACGCACGCACACACGCATGCACGCACACACACACACGCACACACGCACACACGCACACAAGCACACATGCACACACGCGCGCACGCGCACGCACGCGCGCACACACACACACACACACGCACGCACGCACGCACCCACACACACACACACCCACACCCACACGCACACGCACACGCACACGCGCACGCACACGCACACGCACACGCACACGCACACACGCACGCACGCACACACGCACACTCTCGCACACGCGCACACCCACACACACACACACACACACGCACACGCGCACGCACACGCACACGCACACGCACACGCGCACGCGCACGCGCACGCGCACGCACACGCGCACACGCACACGCAGACGCGCACGCGCGCCCGCACCCGCACACGCGCACACGCGCACACGCGCACACGCGCACATGCGCACACGCGCGCACGCCCGCACGCCCGCACGCGCGCACTCACGCGCGCACGCGCGCACGCGCACACGGGCACACGCGCACAACCGCACACGCGCACACGCGCACACGCGCACACGCACGCACGCGCACACGCGCGCACGCGCACACGCGCCCACGCGCGCACGCGCACACGCGCACACGCACACACGCGCACAGCACACACGCGCACACAGCGCGCACACGCGCGCACACGCGCACACGCGGCACGCGCGCACACGCGCACACACACACACACACACACAAACAAACACACACACACACACACACACACACACACACACACACACACACACACACACACCACACACGCACGCACACACGCACACACGCACACACGCACACACGCACACACGCACACACGCACGCACGCACGCACGCACGCACGCACGCACGCACGCACGCACGCACGCACGCACGCACACGCACGCACACGCACGCACACACGCACACACGCACACACGCACACACGCACACACGCACACACGCACACACGCACACACGCACACACGCACACACGCACACACGCACACACGCACACACGCACACACGCACACACGCACACACGCACACACGCACACACGCACACACGCACACACGCACACACGCACACACGCACACGCGCACACGCGCACACGCGCACACGCGCACACGCGCACACGCACACACGCACACACGCACACACGCACACACTCGCACACACTCGCACACACTCGCACACACTCGCACACACTCGCACACACTCGCACACACTCGCACACACTCGCACACACTCGCACACACTCGCACACACTCGCACACACACAGACACACACACAGACACACACAGACACACACAGACACACACATGCCCACACACCCACACACGCGCACACGCGCACACGCGCACATGCACGCGCCCACACACCGACACGCCCACACACACACACACGCTTCCGCAAAGAATGCCTGAGCCGCGCAGCCGCGCTGAACAAACGAAACCCAATCTTTGCCGACCCAGGGAAGCTTGTGTGCAAGCAAGGCTGCGGGATGAATTCTTTTTCGCTAGCACGCAGCAACAAATCAGTTCAAGTGCGCCAGGCCCGCACCCTTCTTGCACACCACCTCGCCAGGCAGTTCTGCCCAAACTAGGGCCTTCAAGACAAGGTTGATGTATTCGGGCAACTGCACTGCGCAGCAAAGATTTGCCGTTTAAGCTTCGTTCGTCTTGACGTGTTCCGTCGGGCGTTCTTTGCCGCTGCCTTGCGGTTTCTCTTTTTGCGGCTTTGGGCACTCCACCATGTCCGTGGGGGAAATTGCAAACGGAGAAGGGGAATAACTCAGCTTGGGCTGGTCCCTTGTGTTTCTCTTTGGCCTGTCACAGCTGGAAGTGGGTGCTATTTGTGTGCTGCTGCCGATCTCGGGGAGGTGGCTGCTCGGCCACAGACCCGCTTATTGGCGAAGGCGGCAATGAGGATGAGTTTGGCTCCATCCCGGCTACCTCCATGCCAGTGGAGTGAGGCACAGGCAAACCATCCGATCTAACCTTGTGAATTTTGTGCATATTGGTTGTTTGATTGCGCATGGTTGTTGGCTTGATTGCGTGGCGAGAGAGGGAAGAAACTTGCAGCGGGAGTGCGGTCCAACAATTTCCTTTCCCCAAGCCAATTTTCTTCCTATTTGGCTTGGGGCGGGCGCCGACCGCTGTGGGGTTCTTGCACGCTCAGCAAGGCCAGCGGCGCGACCAGTGCCCATGTGGTGAAGCCCTTTTCCCGTTTAGTGAGAGAGATGTTGAGAACAGAATCCGAGAGTGTCACCCAGATGACAGCAGAGGCAGTGATTTGATTTGCCCCCACTTTGCTTGCGAAGAGGACCTTTTTTCCAAATCGCAGTCTTTTGCGGACGTGTGACAGTCTTTACAAAGGATGTTCGCCTGGCAGAGAGATGTGCTGCAGATCGTGATGCCACCAGCCAGCAGGTAACAACCTCCTTGGGCACGCTTCGGCAAGGCCGAAGCTTCAAAGGTTTTGCAAGCAATTCTGGAGTGTTGGAAATCAATTTGGGGTATGTGGGATCATACTTCAAAACCATAAAATATTGAAGTACTCCAGTCAGTGAGAAATACCTGGGGACCTTACCATTCTCATTGGGGTGAAGCAATTCACCTCCTTTGCAGTCACCCAATGTTTCCATTGAGGTGTTAACCATACAGTAAAACACACACAAGAACTTGCACCCTTCTTGCCACCTGCTTGTTATGCTCCCCTGTGTCGCCTTGTTATGTTCTCCTTACCTTGTTATATCCTCAGATCCTCCTTCCCACCCATGCCCCCAAAGCCCTACAGCAGCTGCCACAGCAGCTGCTGCTGCAGCTGCTGGCTGGCTGCTGGCTGGCTCCAGCAAGAAGGGCACAGAGAAGGAGAAGGGACCAGGAGCAGGCAATGGGCAGCGCAGGCAAGGACGAGCGCATCGCCGGCGAGCTCCGCCCCTTCACAAAGGCCAAGGTCACTCCAAAGCCGAAGAAGAAAGAGATGCCAAAGCCGAAAACGACACTCAGCGGGCTGCGCCAAGCACTGGCCAGGGTTATTCGCGACAAGCGCATAGAGGAGGCAAAGCAGAACCAGGAGAAGGCCGCCAAGGTACAGAAGATTGCATCTTCAGAGGGGGAAGAGGTCACCATCGAGGAGGAGGAAAAGGACACAGCAACAGCAGAGCAGACGAGTGGTGGCAGGAAGAAGAAGGGGCCTGGTGGCAGAGCAAATTGCATGGCCTTTGGTCCAAAGCCTAAATTAAAGCTTGAGGGTTGCTCTTGCATGAATCACAAGCCAGTGCAAGCACCAGCTCGTCCTTGTCGGGCTTTCCCAGCAAGCCCAAGATGCAGCGGTTGCACTCCTCATTGTTGAAGGTGTTCATCTTCTCCCGGATAGCCTTAAGACACACCCCAACCACAAGCACTTGGCACAAATTATGCCCAACTTGTTCAACAAAGCCACCTTCCAGGCTTCCATGCGACGCACTGACACAGAGCCGTTGGCAACACTTGTAGGAGTCAAGCTGCTCAGCAGTCCTCAGCCATATGACAGGAAATGGCAGCAAAGGGTAGGGGTGCACTTCCAACACCTCAAAACACAGCCAAGACTCAAGCAATCTGCCTTTGAGCAGGTGTCTCCAATGCTGGTGACTCGGGGCCTTGTGGACCATGACCATCGCACCAGTGTTGAAGAACATGTCAGGACCGGCTTCATCATCACTCGGCAGCTCCATTGCTGACTATCAGCAATGGCCAGGCCCAGATCCCAATTTGATATATTAAAAAAAATATGCTATATGAACTCCAGTTTCATGTGCCATGGTCATTGGTCCCCCCTCCATCTTCACGCAGGGCTGAAATGATGCAGTCACATGCCAAACACACATTCAGCTACAAACTGTCACACGCAAAACATCATTGTACACCCCTTCCCCCAACAGCCGACAGCCTGGCAAGCCAGCAGCCAGCTGCAGCAACAGAACCTGACATGATTCACAAGGCCAGCGCCTAGTTAATGGTTCCCAACAAACCCTGCAGCAAGTTTGCAATAACTTTGACCCAAGACCTGCCACCCACCACCATCCTCATTCTGGCAAGGTGCTGTGGCGCAGCTGCAGCAGCAGCTCCCCACACCCACACACCCAAAACACCCAACAACACACCCACACACCCACACACAAAACCCATACGCAAGCACACAAACCCACTTCCCCAGTAGCCCCATAATTGATTGCAAAACCTTTTCAACTCTGAGCTTGACAGAAGCACTTGGCAGCGCCGCAGGGCGCTTCCCAAAAGTGCCGCACTAGCCTCTTTTGTCTTTTCTTCTCTTTCTCTCTCTGTTCTCCTTCCGCTTCCGCTCTCATCTACTTCTTCACGACAGCCTTTGCTTTTCTTCTTGTTTCTTCTCTTCTCCTTCCGCTCTCGTCTACTTCTCATGCGGAAGTTCCTTCTAACTTCCTTTGATCATACGGGTGCGTTTTTTTGCGGGTAGTAGGAAGCTACCCATAGTCGCGGGTCCCCCTATTTTAACGCATGCCCATAGACGACTGGCGGAAACTACCAGGCAAATGATTGGTTTGCAAGACAACGCGGGTAGAACAAATGAACACCACACAAAAACAGTGTAGGTGAGCAACGGCCATTCATCGTCACGTATTATAATCAAGAAAAGTTGGGTCATGATGTTTCTCAAAGTCATTAGCCGACTTCTTGTTGGCATTTAAAGTGTGAAAAGGGAACACCGCTGCCGTTTTAGGGGCTTCCTGCTTTGGGAAACTGGCGATATTGGTTGTTGCCGTGGGTTGAGGGCTCCTCAACGAACCGATTATCAAAGCCCTAGGTGCCCTTCGTAGCTTTTCTTAGGGGAACTAAGAGGAACATGCGCTGCGTGCGCTCGCTGACGCGGCTTCCCTTAGACGACTTGGATCCGAGTGTGGTTTGCTCTCTGGACAGGGGTTTCCAAAATCGGCTCAGCAAAAGACACCCCTTCCTCGTTCACAGGCAGCACAAACGTCTTTGTCTTGGATGGTCTATGGTATGGCCTCAGCCCCTTAGATCTTTCGGAAACAAATGGTTTTTCAGACCTTCACGGAGGAAGACCTTCAGGGAGGAACTGTTTAGACCTGACTCGTTTGTGTAATGATTTTTCTCTGGCGCTGAATAGCACCTTCCCAAACAGGCCACAATTCTATGTTTTTTGTCCCAAAATTTGGGAACCCCAACCAGTGAAAAAAACAATAAGGGGACCCTTAAAACCCGACAGACTCATTCCCCAAGCAATGAACACGAAAAGGGGTTCTAACGGCAACTGTACAGAAGGGTCATGGGTCATGTTTGAAGAGTGTGTGTGTGTGATCATTTTGGGACATGCCGTGCAGAAGCAAGTGAGCATGTCCTGCGGCTACTTGCATGTCAACTGCATGGATTCCTGTCTCACAATGTTTTCCAACCATGTTTGACCACTGTCGGGGGTTGCTTCGGATATCTTTGGTTTCCTCCGGAAGTGCCTGTGACAAACGCCGCAAGGGGCCGATCGGCCATGGAGAAGGAGCAGCTTCGGCTCTCCTGGATGGCGCGGTGAAGGGGGTCTTTGGGGGCGGGAGATGGTGCCTTTCACGGCAGGTGTTGGAGCCTCGTGCCTTCTCAGGTTGCAGCCCAAATGCGTGACCACTCCGCGACTCGAGGAGATAAGCTTTCCTTTTGGTTTCCCTTGAAAATGGTCCCACCCAAAAACAACACCCCTTTAAAGCTCTTTGGATATTCCCACGGTTTTAAACAGCCCTAGTTGATCTTGATTAGCACCATGCGCCAAAATAGTAGCCCTATTAGTCTGCTATGTTCGCTCCCGCGCGGACCATTGGCCGCTGGAACTCGGAGGGCTTTTCTCCATGGGTTCTAATTGGTTCCAGGATACGCGCCCATGTTTCTCGCAAGGGAATTTATGGCGTTTCTGAGGTTCATTGACTCGGTGCAGCTGTTGCATATCCGCTGATGAATTTCCGTGGCAGACCCAGTTCAACAAAGCCCAGCAGCACGACTCCTGGGGCCAAGTTGTGGAGGCAGGCGGTTTTTCGGCAGGTCGAAGGATCTGATGGGTTCTGGGAGTTCTAAAATCGTGGACGCCTTTTTTGGGTTGCTTTGAATGAAGCCCCTCAATTGAGAAACACCTATTTGGGTGTAGGGGTTTCCGATTTTGTCTCGCCTGGAGTTGGAGCGTTAGCCTTGAGTTGGGTTTGGCTTGAACCGGCTTGTGTTTGGCGACACTTGAGTTTTGTGGCTTGAAGGGTTTGTCAGCCCAGGCCCTATTATTGGTTTCGACAGGAAAGCCAGAGAAACCCTTACAAGAAATCGATCCTTTTGATTTTGACAGAACTTTTGGGCATGCAAGGAATCGAAGTGTCGGCCACAGACCACGGTGTGGCCGGCGTGGCCCTTTCACCTAGGAGGTCGGCAGAGTCCGCCGCGTTTCGCGGACGTTTCCATAGTGTGGCGTTTGGGTCTTTTTCCAAAGGGAAAGCAACTTGCGGGGTCCAGCGGCAGACATTGATCCTTGCAGGCGCAGGAGGACTATGAGTCAATGGCTGCCCAGATTGCAGCGAAGCAGGCAGGAGAGCAGGTAAAGCTCGAACCCCAAAAGAGTCTCTCCTTTGCCCTGGTTTGCAACACCACCTTTTGGGAGTTTCTTTCGGGCGGTGTGATGTTTCAGGGTGCAATGTATAAGACATCCCGGACCAATATGTTCACCAATGCCATCCCAATACCGGCTGCAATTGCGCCCGCTTCAATCAAACCCAAACAGGACAGCTACTACTGTTGTGCTTCTATCACCCCGAACCTACCAACCCTTGATGCAAATCCCTTGAATCTTCAGGCAGCGGGTGTAGGCATGGGCTTGCTCCAAAGGGGAGCCTCTGAATAGCTTGCTTTCCTTTTGGCTTCCGCTAATACAACCCAAAAAGGGGTACTCCCAAAAAAGGCACACCCACACATAGGCGGTGGATTCTAATGGCAAAAGATGGGTGGTACAGAGTTGAATAGGGGCGAATCCAGTCACTACTGGCGCTTGCTCTCCAAATTCCTTTGCCATTTGGGGGTACACATATTGACCCTAGCTCACATACCTTTCATAGCCTGCGTATTTCTCCCGCATTGTCAGCAGAGAGTCTTTTGACATCCAATCTGTTAGCTAATGACAGGGCCTTTCAACACTGGTGTAGCCTCCATTTTCAGAAATACTCACTTGAAATCTCTCAAAAACACCCGCATGGTGCCCACCCCTGTTGTTCTTTCCGGAGGACCTCCGGATATACTCCCAGAGTCAAAGACATCATGTGAGTGATGCTCCCTCCCTTCATGCCCACTTAGGGTTTGGGATGAGGGCAAGGATCAATATTTGCTGCCCATGTTGGGAGGGCCGGCTCTGTGGTTTTATCGATTAGTAAGGTCAACATGTTTTATGTGTTTTCTACGAGTAAGGCCAACCTGTTTTCTTCTTCTACTACAGCGATTCGTTTTAAGATGACCGTCCAAACCCGGGAAAATTCCTAGCAGTAAGGCCTGCATGAGACATGACCGTTAAAGGAAGCCACCGCGGCAGGGCTTGCCCTCCATCACTTCCAAGGAGAAGGCACCGACCCATCCGCCGCGAGGGAAAGCACTGGACGAGGTTTCCGGGTGACCAATGCTTTTCGGGTACCCCGAACCCTCCCCCTTGAAAGTAGAGGGCAGCTGAGTTTGAGTTTGATAATTTGAGAGAACGCGTTGATTGCTCTCTGCGAAAGGCATGCAAACTGCAAAGCAAAGCAGCGCGAGACGCATTTAAAACGTAAGTCAAGGCCAGGGGCACAGTCTCAGCAGAGGTGACATCCGCCTCTTGATTCTGTCGTTTATGGGTAGACCTTGAAATCACCAGGTTTGGGTCTGACTCGAATCTCTGTGCTTGTATGCCAGAAAGCTGCTTGGCTGATGGTGCTTGCCGTCGGGTCAGAGTCGCTCCGAGCTATAAAGACCGAAACACGGCAGGCCCCTTTGATCCTTTACATGACATGATGTTTTGGCAGACACCCTTTGATCATTTCATTATGGCTCATTTGGTGTTGCCTGCTAATTGGTATGTTAAGCTCCTTTTTATGTGCGGCACATGCAGGAATTTGGGCTTGTTGGGAAGTTGTCAAGAGCAAGTAGCCGCGTTGTCAAGGCGTTCAATGTTCAAACGCAGATTCGTTGGAGGTTGGGTCAAGATATCCAGTCTATGGTCAATTGGACTCACCGATGTCCCATTTTCCATTGGAGATCTTGTTTTGCTCATTTGAGTTTATCTTGTCGGCAAGGAGGATTTCCTGTAGCTTCCCTTCAAAACAAGGGCACTAGCTAACAGATCCACCCATTCAGTTTTGAAGACATTGCGCTGCGTCGAGGAGCCAGGCGCAAGTTTTGGTAAGTCTGTGGAAGTACATTTGTTATGTGCGTGTCTGCTTGCTGAAGCGTAAGGTAAGCAGACACGCACATATCAGTCCTTCCAAAGGACACGGTATGGCTTAGATCTGTGGTTCTTTAGGCACAGGTTTATTTAGCTGACACAGACCAGTCTTTCGCCCCCAAGATTCCCATGAGAGATCTTTGGGCTTCATTTTCGAATTTACCCCTTAGACTTAAACCCATGGTTCATTCTTTTCCACAGGGCCAACTCCTTCGTCAGGACATGGGTTCGTCTCAAAAAATCGGAGCCCACCTAACTAGCCTTTGGTTTTTTCCCCTTGTCGCAAGGCATGCCCTTGCTGGGTTGCCGAGCCTCAACCCAAATCGCCGGCATCGAGCCTGGGCTCGCGCTCGTAGGACGTGCTGCACCGCTTGGCGCTGTGCTTGGGCGCGCGGGTGGTGGCCCGAGATATGGCGCGATGGCAAGTGCGTCTCTTGGGTTTAGCGGGGGCTCGGACCACTTGTGGAGGGAAGCCCCTATGAGGAATGGGTTTATGAATCCAAGGAATCCAACGTTACCATCTTTTTTTCCAGTTGTGTCATTTTTGGGAAAGCCAAAGCAGCCACCTTTTTGGGGTTCAGATCGGGCGCATGTGTGTGTGTGTGCTTTTGAGGCTGGGTACCCTTTGTGAGGCTGGTTTCAAAGGAAAGCAAAATCCGTATTGGATGTCCGTATTGGGGGTCCTCCTATTTCGACACATGCCCCCCTCCGCCGCTTTCCAACAATCATAGAAGGCAAGAAGCCTTCCAACAGGAAAGTCATTTTGCAGCGGTTGCACACTTTGATCTTTGTTGGGGGATGGGCAGTGGATTCTATCGAACGTACCCCATCTGCGAGCAAAAACGTAAGCAGTTTGACAGTGCTTTCTCCTTTCCATGGGTTGGTCCTTGGAACTCTTACAAAACTAGAGGACGACAACGCGTGGGGCGGCAACATCTCCAAACTGGACTGCGCTGCTATCAAATCCGAGCAGCGCTCCCACATGGTTGGAATCCTCAAGCTGTGTTTGATGTGCGCCACAGGTTTTACCCATTTGGGTAAGCAATATTTTGTTCTCAAATAGGGGCACTCAGCCATGCACCCGTGCCCTCGAGCAGGTTGCTTGTCCTTGAGCTTTAGTTCGGGACATCGTTTTCATGGGGGACACATCGTTTTCGTGTATATGTTCCAACTCCATAGAATGGAGCCCCGTTTGGGTGCTCGCTTTTACTCAGGCGCAGGCGCTGCGGACGATGCACGAGAACATCACCGTGACGGACATGAAGAGCCTGCAGCCCATTTTCGAGGCGATCTCTTTGGGCGATCGATCCGGGCGACCCGCGGGCGTTTCGCCCGGCCGGGTGTCACTGGTTCGATACATGCGTTGGAATGACCCTTTTGTGGTTTCCTGAAAGGGGATTTCACGGTGGTCCAACCGAAATGGATCCCCCAAGAAACACCGACTTTCCTTGATTGCTATTGGTTTGGATTTCCGAACTTAACTCTTTTCGGGAAGTTGTATTTTCCCACTAACCTGCAACAGACAAACACTTTTTGCGCAGGGGGCCGCCATCAAGAACTTCCGGCTTGCCCTTCCTTCAAAGGCTGAAACGCTTGCCGCCTTGCGAGGTCCTCTTCACTGGCGCAGAGCCGGATGTCTTTCCGGTGGATGCCGGGGCGCCCAGCTTGAGCTGATGGTTGCGAAATCCACTTCGCACCACCATGGGAATCCATGGTTGAAACCATTTGTTGGATGGGAAGCCATTGTCTGCTGGTATTTGCAGGGCAATCATCAGAAACCAGGGTTTCTCAGGTGCAAACATATGTTGTTTATTCACGGTAGCACGGCCGGGTTTCCCGATTCCCCGCCGTTGGAGTGCAGCAACAGATGTGGGGAAGGCATTCTGGTCAGAAACGAGAAGTGCCCACAAGCCTGTGATTGAGATCCCTTCCTAGAGGCCTCATGTACTGAAGCCCCTGCAATGCAGTGTATCGGTTGGTACAAGTACTGCCCGTTTGGATTGCTCGAGGTGTCGATTGTTTCTCCACCCCTGCTTTCCCAAATCACCCTGACACACGAGCCAACCCGTTTGACTATTGGTTCTGCCTGTACATATTCTCTGTATAATTCCTGTCAGCACCTAGTTTGAACATGCGCAACACGTTCAAGACGCAAGACCATGCAATGAGATTCTGGATATGATGGTGACCAGCTCATTGTTGGGACGCTGGCAAAGCATGATGGGGAGTGGTGGTGTGGACTCACCAGGCATGAAATGGTGTGGAAGGCTGGCAAATTGAACATGCGGCACCTTAAAGTAGGCTTGGGAGATGTCCAGAGTGTGTGTGTCGGGTTTCGGGCCTTGCATGGTTTGCGCTTCAGGCAAGCAAATATCAGTTCGCCGCATCCATGATCAAGCCCAGTGCGCCGGCGTTGGGGCACCAGGTAATTAGCGATGCGAAGGGCGAGCGGACGACGGGAAAGGGCCACCTAAGCGTCCATCATGAGAATTGGACTGGGACCAACTGCAAGCCTCATGCTTGGAAAACAGGCAGGCAACGTCGATGAGCATGGCCGTCTTTTTGACACGATCTGCCCGTCAGGACTTGAGCGCCTCCACGGCTGATAGTGTCACGTCTGTTGAGTTTTACTGGGGAACACCCAAGAAGAGGGCTTGACACGAAGTCCCATGCAGCGAGGTCTGAAGGTCTTTCCATTTGTCCAGAGAGCCTTCCAGGTACAGAGGGCGAAATCATTTGCGCTGAGGCTGAGGTGGTCTGTCGGGGCAGGGCAATGGATGTGGACCCCTTCCCCATTCTGCTCCGCAACCTGTCCCTCACGTGGTGTTTTCAATGATAAGTGGACAGTACCGGGGTATGGGGGTTCGGTTTGCCCTCGGTTTGCAGGTCAGTGGGTATCGGTTTTGGGAGGGTCCCTATGTCTTTCTGGTGCTAGTATTGTCAGTTGCTCCTATAGTCTTGTCATGTCTTGCCTGGAAACCTACCGATTCAGGCGGCTTCCATTTCGTTTGCCTTGAAATCAGCCCCACAAAGGCTGCCCTCAAAACAAAACACACCAGCATGACGGAAGCTTACATGAGAGCAGAAATCAATAGAAATCAGCCAGAAGCTGCTGTTGTGAAAGGGCTTTTTGGGTGACATCTCCTGCCCAGCTTGGGGAAACCATGATCCTTCAAAAGTTCCCGCAAATGATTAATAATATCTGAGAACGCCCTTGATTTCCAAAACAGTGCACGCCTTGACTGCGCTTTGGTTGGAGCGGACGTCACTGACGCATGGGTATGTGTGATAGGGATTCCGAGTTTAAAGGTAGGCTTCGGTTTTCCTTTCGATTTCCGCAAGAAAACCAAATCTGCAAAGCGTACCTTTGGGGTTAGTGCTTTTCGAGGTTGGAGGGACACCAAAAGGCAACCTTTTTTTTTGGGGGGGGGGTCCCGTATTTTGACACGTACCCATTGCTGGTCCACATTGTTTTGTGTTTAGGGACGACTAAGGAACAGAGACAGAACATATTGTCTGTGTACGCCGGATGTGGGCCAAGATGTCTTGGTGTAGAGCATTTGGACCAACTCGCGCGCCAAGATTTCGGCACGTGAGTGACACTAAAATCAGGAGGAGGCCGCCACGGATTGGCATCAGCGCCAAGCCGTACTTCGCACCGTGCGCGGCACGGTGGTGCGCCTCGGAGCGTAAGGTCTGTCTGCGGCTTTGGATGGGCCTGACTGGTTCAAAACGCAACCTGACTGGTTCAAAACCCTGCTTTGTCACTTGTGAGCTTTTGCGCTTTTGACCCGTTCTGAAATCTTGTCAACTTAGCTTTCCCAACTTTCGAGCTTTTGATTTTCGAAAGCAACGCGCAGAACGCTCTGAAGACTATGGGCTTCGAAGCAGCCCTAGAGGCCCTGAAGAACACTTGGGCCGTATGCCGCTCCCAACAGAGTACCATTGCCGATACGCTTTGGATGCGGGAACTTGGGGAAGACACCAAGCTGCATCCAATTGGTTCTCTGGATATAGGCGTTTCTTTTCTTTCGGAACCCCACTTTTAGACCGAAAGGGAGACTAATTTGGGGGATTCCCAAACCCATGGTTTCAGCCTGACTACCCTTCCACCAATTAAGATGGAACCCACCAGAGGGTCCATTTTGAAGGAAAATGGTCTTCAAGGAACCCGAAACGTCAGGTTCGACGTGAATGGACGGGAGGGTAACTTGACGGCCGATTTGGGCTGAAGCTTGCAAAAAAGTCTCTCTTAGGTGCTTCCGGATCGAGAAAATCGGCCTCAAGGACGCCCAGGAGAAAGCCGAAAGCCGTTTGGTGCACGAGTTGGTGGGTTGGTGGGGATCTCCTAAACATCTCCCTCCAATCATCCGGACCATCGGACAAAGCACCGGTTCGTTGGAAACACCATGCCCACTTTACTGGGTTTTAACCTTGCGGACGGTCCCGGCCGATGTGCTTCCTGCTTGAGGATGCCCTTTTTGAGGCTTGCAGGAGGACGCCGACCTTTTTTTGGCGTCCGCTGTCGTCAGACACAGCCGCACACTGGTCTTTGCCCGCCGGAATCCTGGCCCGATGTGAGCCGTCATCGCAGGACTACATAGACCCTTTCATGACGGTTCTCGTCGCAGACTCGCGCGGCAATACCCTGGATTCTCGGGATACGCCCGGGACCCGGATTCCAGCCTGTGGGCTGCCCGACTTGGATTGGGTGTTCAGGTTTTGAAGCCTTGCTCCTGGTGGGAAGCCACCTCCCAACCCCCAAATCAAAATCACAGGGGCGGCTGGGCGGTTTGGCCGGTTTTGGCCCCAAGTTGTCTTTCCGATGGCAGCAAGAACGACTGGTCCGGGTGGCAGACGAGGTCATGAAGCGAGATGATGATGATGATGATGATGATGATGATGATGATGACGATGATGATGATGATGATGATGATGATGATGATGATGAAGATGAAGATGACGGTGACGGTGACGGTGACGACTACGACAAGGATGATGATGATGATGATGATGATGATGATGATGATGATGATGATGATGATGATGATGATGATGATGATGATTATGACGATGACGATGACGCTGATGGTGATGACGATGACGACGGTGATGATGATGATGATGATGATGATGATGATGATGATGATGGTGGTGGTGGTGGTGGTGGTGGTGGTGGTGATGTTGACGATGCTGCTGATGATGATGATGATTATGATGATGATAATGCTGATGGTCAACCCTTCCTGTGCGATTTCACTTTTGGAGCAGGGGTCGGCGGAGTATATATAAATATACATATAAATACGAACATAAATAAATACGTATACTATTATATATATATATATGATTATAAACATATGAATATATATATATATATATTAATATATTGGTGTCTGTTGGTTTGCACGGAGCATGAACCAAGCCGGGGGCACAGCCCACGAAGGGCGCGCGCAGGCAGCTCGCGAGCGAGAGGAGGGCCACACACGTGATGTTCAATCAGCAGGCCGGGTCAAGCAGAGTTCCAACAAGCAATCACCTTAAACAGCACCTTTTGATCATGCCACTTTAAAGTCAGCTTCTTTGTAGCGGGGTGATGTTCAGAGTGGAAGGTGTGAGAGCCCGATCGAAAGTCAAGAACAAAGAAGAGCTCGAATGCAGGCTTCTCGTTGGTTTGTGTGAGAGAGATTGGTTGCTTTGCATTGCCAGCTTAGATAGCACCCCTCAGGTCCAGCGTATTTCTTGATATGAACAGGGTGTGACATATCCTGCATCCACACCTCTCTAGAAGTGCGTCTTGCCCAAGGGGCGCTCCGCGCATGACGGGCAGCAGTATTGTCAGCTAGCTGTACCCTTGGAACAACTTAAGCTTACGTGAGCAGCGCCCAAAAATCGATTCCTGGGGGCCAGTAGGGGGTTCCAATACCTGGCTTTGTGGGGTCATTGGAACGGCCAACGCAATGTACGTCTTGTTCATCATGTTGGTAGGGCCCAAGTCGATGGGTTTTGGGCGGTCACATTGAGAGACCACATTCACCATCATTTGCTGGAGCAAGGGGATGACATTAGACACAAGCAAGCCCAGACTTGTCATTGGGAAAGGGCGTTATTGACCAAAGTATCACGCGAGTTGGTTTCAAAATGAACATCGACTGCACGCTATGTCACATGTATATGTGTTTCTATCAGGAAGCTACAGGAAAGCCGGCCAGGTCTACCTCAACGTGTCTTTAGAGGATATGGAGAGGTCGCGGCCGCCTTGGATCCACTGTGCATAGCTGTGAGGTTGACTAGGTCCCCCAGCGATCGGTGCCCTTTCGAAAACCGTTTCTTTTTTGGTTGGGAGGGTTTGTGTACCAAAGTAGACCGCAGAAAAAGTTGGTAGCCTTATGCTAGCCTCTCTACTGTTGCGTTGATTCGTTTGGTTGAAGGATGGAGCGCTTCCATTGGCTCATGTAGCAGATCCTTGTTGCCAAACGTTTTTGCCCTTGTGCAGAACACGGGGTTTCTCCCAAGATTTGCGGGGGCAAACTTGTGCAAGGCTTCTCTTGGGTCCTACCCACAAAGGGGGGGGCGAATCGCCCTGCCCAGGGGCGCGGCGATTTTCTTCGAGTTCAAGCACTACAAGCCCAAAAAGAAGAAGGTCTCCACGAGGACCCGGTCCAAGGGACGGGCGTCGGGCTTCCAAAAAAATCCAGCACCGACCTCGAGGGAAACTCGCCCTCTGTGCGCTTGGAAGGGGATATCTCACACCATCGAGCCCGGCTTTGTTTTTCATGGCAGGCCCATGGCAAGCGAAGGACGCCCCTCTTCGCGCGCGCGCGCTGTCTTGGAAACAGCTGACTTCCCCCACCCAGCCTCCCTGCTGCCTGCCCCGAGAGCGCCAGTATGGGCTATGTCTCAAAGTTTTTCGAGTCACGTACCCAAAACATCTCCGTGAAAAGCTGATCGACTACCCTCGCACCAGCTTTCTTGGAAGTGCACAGACCCCTGTAGAAACACAACTTTCCTCTTGGAGGGTACCCCTTTTTGCCTTCCATGTTAGTTGGTGCTACCGGTTACCCCAGACATATGGCTACCGCGAGAGCACGCGCTCGCAAAACGCCGAAATTTCGTCGAAAGGTGTTGGGCTTTCATGGAGCTGGCCGAGCTGAAGCGGGATGAGGCGAGGTGTTCCTGGGGGTTGCCCCCTCGTTCTTTTGTTTTTGGTTGCTTGCTTGCTTGCTTCTTGTTGTGTGTGGTTTTTGGTTTTTGGTTGTTGGTGCTTGGTGGCTGTTGGTTGGTCGTTGTTGGTTGGTGGTTGGTGGCTGGTGGTCGGTGGCTGGTGGTTGTTGGTTGGCGGTTGTTTGGTTGGTGGTTGTTGGTTGGTGGTTTGTGGCTGGTGGTTGGTGGTTGGGGGCTGGTGTTTGATGGTTGTTGGTTGTTCGTTGTTGGTTGGTGGTTGATGGTTGGCGGTTGTTGGTTGCTGGTTGTTGGTTGGTGGCTGGTGTTTGTTGGTTGGCGGTTGTTGGTTGGTGGTTGTGTGTTGTGTTGTTGTGTTGTTGTGTTGTTGTGTTGTTGTTTGTTGTTTGTTGTGTTGTTGTTTGTCGTTTGTCGTTTGTTGTTTATTGTTTGCATTTGTTTGCTGTTTGTTGTGTGTTGTTTGTTGTTGTCGTGCGGAACAGTTTTTTTTCTTGGCAGAGCCACCCTGATTGGTTGGCTGGTTTGTTGGTGGATGGGTTGTGCGGTTGGTTGGCTGGTTGGCTGGCTGGCTGGCTGGCTTGTTGGTTGGTTGGTTGGTTGGTTGGTTGGTTGGTTGGTTGGTTGGTTGGTTGGTTGGTTGGTTGGTTGGTTGGTTGGTTGGTTGGTGGTTGGAAAGCATGGGTGCGTTTTAGGAAACCATGAAACCGCTTTGGAAGCCAACCCAAGTGCCGGATTTCAATAAACCATCAACCCTGTTGGCAATATTTGGAAGGGACATGGAGTTTGTATTGGGCTTGTGCCGGTGGGCAGTAGAGTGTGAGAGAGAGAGAGAGCGATCCCCTTCCAAGGTAAGCCGGAGACGATTTGGGCGGTGATTTGGCGCCAAGTGTTTCTTGCAGTTCGTTTTTTGCCAAACGGGATCGAAAGGACACAAAATCATCTGCTTGATATGCTGGATCATTCTCACGCACCATGCAGCCCTTCAGCGCTTGAGTTGCAATGAGTCGACAAGCTTTGGGAAGCCGCCTTGAATTGCGACGTCCCCTTGGCCGCATCAGACAGGTTCTGGGCAATCCGAGGATCTGAAAATTCGGGCCCGAGCCGCGGACGGAACTGGAAGCTTTCCAAGCGTGAACTTGTCTCAACGACCCAATATCAGTGCGGGGGATTCACCCCCTGTTTAGACCATAGCTCAACACCACTACAGGTGAACTGGGTCCAAAGTGACATCCTCAAAGTTACCCTCTAAACGGTCCTTTAAGCGGAGCCAACCCCCAGAACCCCCCCCCCCCCGCCCCCCCACCAAACAAAAAATGTTGGTTTTTCCTAGTTTAAGGCGACCTCCTTTTTTGTTGCACATGGTGCAACCGACTGCCGCCAGGAAATGGTCCTAGAGATCTACCACAAGCCCACAGATTTGAAGCGACGACCCGAGTGCCAGCTGACGTGTCAACAAAAATTGAGGACCTTCAAACTGGTGGCTTTCCTCTTGGTTCCCTTTGAACCAAACTGAAAAGGGTACCCGCAGGAGACAACTACACACAGCTCACACACACACAAAATTGGCCAGGAGTCTTTCAAGGTTCATCGAGCTGTTTGTGTTCCTGTCCACACCTGTGCCCTTTTGGGGAGATAGCCCAAGCCAAATCCTTTTTGGGCTCCCTTGTTTGCCCCAGACCTGCGCCCGTTTTTTGAACCCTTTGAGCGGGGTTCCCTTTTTCAACTTCTCACCCGAAAGAGCGGGCTTTTCTCCCTCTGGAAATCCGCAGGTCTGGTTTTTGTCGGGGAAGGTCTGGTCAAATCTCATTGCCCAGGAAGAAGAAGCTGAACCTCCACTCGGAGAAGCCGTGCCTCTGGCGCAGTTGGGAGTCCAGCTTTTTGTTTGTTTGTTTGTGCGTGTGTGTGTGTGTGTGTGTGTGTGTGTGTGTGTGTGTGTGTGTGTGTGTGTGTGTGTGTGTGTGTGTGTGTGTGTGTGTGTGTGTGTGTTTGTTTGTTTGTTTGTTTGTTTGTTTGTTTGTTTGTTTGTTTGTTTGTTTGTTTGTTTGTTTGTTTGTTTGTTTGTTTGTTTGTTTGTTTGTTTGTTTGTTTGTTTGTTTGTTTGTTTGTTTGTTTGTTTGTTTGTTTGTTTGTTTGTTTGTTTGTTTGTTTGTTTTTATTGGGTGTGTGCGGAAGTCCGCGAAGGGGCGCGCGGATGTTCACCAATGTTTCTGTTCAAACCAACGTGTTGGGCCGAGACGGGCCAACCTAGTTTCCCTGCCAGCCCATAGATTAATCCCAAGTGGCCGGCGGGAGTGCCAACAAACAGACCCACTTTGGACATGGGGCCGCTTCGATTAGGGCCCCCCGATTCTTGGGACCCATTCATTGAGCGAACGGCAACGAACGGCATGCTGAATCGCCGCACGCTGGGAGCAATGAAGCTGTTGAAGCGGTCAGCGAGCAATTCGGCCATTGCCAGTGCAGGTTATACCTTCACCTCTTTGCCACCTTCATCAGCAACTGAGAGAGAAAAGCTGGGCGCCGTGGCTTCGGATCTTTGGCACCATTCAAGTCTCCGAAACGGAAGCCGGGCGCCTGTAATGTTCAAAGCGACATAGGCAGGACTCCGTCTCTCCGAAATGCATAGCCTCTGGCAGCCCGAAGTATGGCCGGCAACCAGAGGGTGGCCCACGTGGGAATAAATCCCAGCATCCCAAACAGGAAGTGATCAACTAGCTTCAGGAAATGTACTCTATGTGCGTGGCTACCACAGAACTGTGGTACAGTTTCCTGCTATCTTGGGTTGTCCCTTTGGTTTCCCTAAGGAGACCAAACTCCAACAAAGCGATCCAGCGATCCAGGCAAAACGAGAGGCAAAAACAGATCCAGACCAAGTCCAGCTTGAAAGCAACCACGCGAAGGCCGCCGGGCCCCAAAGGCGGGCCACAATGAAGCCGCAGGCGCTCAGAAAAAAGAAAAAAAGGCGCAGCAGGGAAGAAGCGGACTAGGCTGTGAGCGCTCAACACCGAAACCCCGGCCTTTCTATCCATGCTGCTTCTCGGCGGGACAAGCCGGTAGATGCTTTGTGGAAATGTCCGGTGCGGTCGGGGCCCTCCATGAGAGAGGGCTAATGTGAGTCGAGTCGTTGAGTTTGAAGGGTGTCTCGGTGTCGCCCTTGGACCGGACCCATCCCAACCGGCAGACTGGATATAGGCGACCTGCCAAGATCCCTTTAGCAGGTTCAGGAAATCTGGAAAGGGTCTGAAACATGGTGCAGCGCATCCTGCTTTGGTTTGCCGCAGGGCGCCAGGAGTGTTGCCCTGCTGTTTCCCTTGTTAAACTGTTTAGTACCAAGCCGGGTTCCCTTTTCTACCAGGGCCACTGCGCAAGTGGGCCCAGTGCGACTTTCATGTGAGCTGTAATCCAGGCCTGGGTAGGCGTTGGGTAGCAGAGGGCAGTCTTTCCTGTAAATAGGCGTGCGGATATCCACCCTTTTGTTTAGCACTGGCTTTGGTGTAGGACTTTTCTTAAGACCAGGGTTTGGTTATGATATATTTCAGACCTCGCTTTCAATCTTGGGTTCCCTCAGCCATGCCAACTTGCATAAGGCTCCTCGCCTTAGATTTGGGGGTATAGTACGTCAGCAAAAGAGGAGAACAAGCACCTCAAGCAGCAGCAGTGAAAGCACGCATGAAGCACGAATGCCTGGGAAATTCCACACTGTGGCGCGTGGAATGCGTATATCCACATGTGTATGTATATAAATGTATATAGAGACAACAGGGCCAAAATCGACAATCGAGCCGACCAGACCAAGTGCTTGTTTTTCAGAGCCGCGCTGGCTCGAGTTTTCCGCGGCGCCTATGTGTAATCAAGGCTGGGGATGAACCCGCGGCGAATTCGCTCTGGAAATAGGGACCAGGGTTGTTCCCGAGCTTGGGATGAACCAGCATTGGTGGTTCAAAGAGTTGAAACCAAGGAACTTGGTTTAAATCGGCTCCCCAGAGTGGTTCAGCTTCTTCAAGAAAACATAACAACCCTTTGACCCCTCGCAAAATGGTTGGTGGACCTTCCTCCTTTCCGCTTCTCCTTGGCTCGGTCCATTGAAGAGACAGGCGGACATTGATCCCCGCCCATGATGTTAACCAGGGGCTCCATTTCGAATTAAACTTCATATCCACATGAGCAGCGGACAATATTGAACGGCAACATTGTGAAGTGTTTGTGTGTGTGTGTTGTTGTGTTTTGGGGTCCCATGTGAATGAAAGCAACCATTTTCCAGGGTGTCCATTTCCAAGATTCATACGCCTCGGTCCCAGATAGAACCGTTGTTTTTTTGAATTCACCCCAGCCGTGTTTGTTTTGAAATTGCTCATTGCACTCAAAAAACAACGGAGCCCCAAGGCGCGAATTCAAAACGAAAAACACCGAGGCCCACAGGCGTGAATGCAACAAAAACAATCACCGGGACCCCCGGGTGAGATTTCAAAAAGAAACCGCCGTGACCCCCCAGGATGTTATTCCAACAAAAGCACCGGAGCCGTCCCAGATCGGTCTGGGTCAAATAAGGATTCATACCCCAAAAATGGTTGGTTTCCTTGTTGGTTTCCTTTGCCAGGATGAACAGGGGGCCTCTCAAAAACACACACACCAACAATGTTGCCACCTGGTTCCCAGCCATCTCCGTTTAGTGTTGAGTGGCTGGGTTTCCGAATCTAACTCTTTAAAGGTTAAGCAACTTTTAGCGGGGGATCAGAGAACGGACGGCCCAGGCACCCAAAACCGCAAACAAAAACACCCGAAAACGCCCAACAGGCACTACGCAGAGGTGTCCTTTTTGGATAGTTTCCTGAAATAAAAAGAAGGCGCTGGTTTACCTGGTGGTTTAATCAGACACCTATGGCACGACGTCTCCGGTGATTTTTCGTTAAAACCCCTTGTGCCAGACTTCCGCGCCTTGAGCGTGGATGAGATCCGCGCGCTCGCGAGCGAGGGGGAGGAGTGGGCATTGAAGGCGTTGCGGGCCGACCCGAGAGAGTTGGTCAGAATGGACGTTCTTTTTTTGGGCCAAGAGGAAAACTTTTTTTTTCATGGATGTTCCCCTTTTGGTTGGTTTGAATTTGAAGCCAAGAGGAAAGTCAACCGTTTTGGGGTTTGGTTCTTTGATTTTGGGGACAAAACATGACAAAACCTAATCTTCCGGTCTGTGTTTCATTTGGGAGGGGCGCAAAGGAGGGAAGCCACGAATGTCCATGTGAGTGACCTCACTTGCCCGCGTAGGCTTTGGGATGTGAGCAACGCTCAATTTTTGCTACTGTTTTCTGTCGTCAAGGTCAGGGCTTTGGAGACACTCCAAAAATCCAACGTCTGACCAGTGCTCATATTGACATGATCAAACGACCTGCTTGCTTGGGCTTGGTTGGGATGGTCATCAACCCTGAATAGCCGGGATTTATGAAACCATGAGGAGGATGTTCATAGAAAGGGACATAGAGCCCCTCCCAAAAGCATTGCGTTCTAGAACAACCCAAAAAATGGTTTTTCTTCAAGTGAGGAGCGCCGGGAAGCCAGGCAAGGGTGTTGTCCCTTCGGGGCGCGCATGGACTGCTCCTGAGTAAAACGCCGGGGAAAAAATGCAGGCTGAAATGCGTGTGGGGGGGGTTTGGTTGTTGCAAGCCACATCCCCTTCAGCAAACCCAAGCAACGTGTTTCCCCCGCCGCTCCAAGTAGAGTGCATATTGTAATGGTAGACTAAGTATGAAACAGAGTCATAAGATCTTTTGCTGTGTACCCCTTTTTTGTGTGGGCCCCTCCTCCCAACCAACAGGAGGGCCCGCTATTCCGAGCACCGCGGGGGACAAATCTGTTTAAACATGGGACGTAGTCAGAAAGACAGGGGTGGGTGGGGAACTGTTGACTTTTGTTATTCTACCAATGGTTGCAAAGGTGAATGTGACTAAAAAGACTAAAGATTCCCCGAGAATGTGACTAAAGATTCCCCCGTGATCACGTGGAGGGGTCCAGACCAAGACGCCTTTGACAGGCCCTGGAGCAGCTGAGGAAGCTGGAGCGACTGGCTCATGATCCAGTGCGCGGCCGGCGGATTTGGAACCAGTTGTTTGGGTCAAGAAACGGATGCTAGGGTTTTGGGGGTTTGGGGGTTTGGGGGTTTGGGGGTTTGGGGGTTTGGGGGTTTGGGGGTTTGGGGGTTTGGGGGTTTGGGGGTTTGGGGGTTTGGGGGTTTGGGAGTTTGGGGGTTTTGGGGGTTTGAGGGTTTTTGGGGGTTTGAGGGTTGGGTGGAGTGACATCCGAAGGCTGGACAGTGCGTTTCTTGTGCAGTCCAAACCCATCTAGGAGCTTCTCTGGGTGCCATCTCGCCAATCCTGCTACTTTTTCTACAAGGAAACCAAAAGCGGATTGGCAAGAGCATATTTCCAGACTCCCTGACACCCGGTTCTTTGCAGGAGGAAGTGGCATCAGCGACTCCCCGAACTCTGAGACATGCCCATACGCCTCATGGTTTTGCGCTTGAGGATGCCCATACCCCTTTAAAGCTTGGTGGGACAGCCAAGAGGAAACCAAAAGCCGCCATGTTGGCGCCAGGAAGCTGCATCGGTCAACCTGCATGTGGCTTCACCGCGTGGCTTCGCAGCAGAAACGCCAGCGCTATGTGCCTCGGCAGACGTGAGGGTGTCTCCAAATAGGCATCAGGGGTTTTTGGTTGGTTTGTGTATGAATGCCAATTAAAGGGGGTCCACCATCTTGAGAGACAGACTCAAATTGGCCATGATTCTTAATGGTTGTGACACTCTGGAACAAATGATGTCCAAGCAACTCCCCACGTCATGATGCCCTCTGCAACAGATGGCCAGTGTGTTCAATGGGTGCAACTCCCTTCAAAATGGTTGGGAAATGACCTCAGTGTGTCTGACGTGCACCAACGTGCACCAAGGGTCCTAAATTAAGCGGTCATATCCGCCTAAGTCTCTTGGGTGCGGTTTTCCACCTACTTGTTCAGAAGCAGAGTGTCAACATGCCAGGGAAGAGCACCACGACTTTCCCTCAGTAGCAGTGGAGTTGTTGCAGCCCAACTTGTCATGTTCTATCACGAAGGACTGGGTTGATGGGATAGAGGCTGGCAAGCGGCCTGGTGGCTTGTTGTGTGAGTTGGAGCAGCTTCCAACAATGACCGGTGGACATAAATCCCCGCATATACACACACACACGCATGCGTGCAGGCATGCATACATGCAACATACACACATGCATGCATGCATGCATGCGGGCATGCATACATGCATACATACATGTATACACACACACATACATACATACATGCATGCATGCATACATACATACATACATGCATGCATGCATGCATACATACATACATACATACATACAGACATGCATACATGCACACATGAACACATGCACACATACATACATACATGCATGCATGCATGCACACATACATACATACATACATACATACATACATACATACATACATACATACACACATGCAGGGCATGGCACAGGCATACATACATACATAAATGCATGCAGGCATGCATACATGCATACATACATGCATGCAGACATGCATACATGCATACATACACACCAACCCACAAACATACAAGCATGCAACCGTACAAATCATAAAACCACAAACAGCATACAAGCAAGCACAACAGAAGCACAT